TCTGGTAAGAAGAAAAAGAACCGAAATTTATAAAACTATTAAAAATCATGCCCACGAAAAACATTTCAATTTTCTATTAGTTAGCAGAAGTTATGGTAAATTAATAATCATTTCAGCCATAGATAAAGAGAATTTACGTATGAGTTGGGTACACTTAATGATAGATCTAAGTGCGATCATTAGTCAAAAGACAAGATTTAAGACTACAGGAAGCAGTCGTTTATGCGCAGTACTTGTAGTTCTTTGATGAACTTCATCAATCTATGTTCATATCCCAGGATCGGCAGATTAATATCCGGGTTATTATCTTGAATCCTGCTATTCAGTACTCTTAATGACTCTATTCATGTTTGCCATCTTGTGCTGCTCCGATAGTTCTTTGAAGAAAAGTATGCTATATCAGTGTATTCTAACAAAAGAACTGTAGTTATGAATATATTGCTTCATAATGAAATGTATTCAACGTGATAATGTACCTCAAAATATATATATATATATATATAAGCTTTTAGCATAAATGACGAATTAAAATAAATGTAAACATACATAAAAAAAAACGTTTTGTTATTTAAGTTAATATTTATGATGAGTTAGTTGCAGTAATGTATTTTATAAGTGAAATTATTTGGAGGGTATAAGTTTCAATTGTTCTCTCTCTCTCTTAGATATTGTATTTGTGTTTTAGCTGTTTAAGTTAATAGGTTGATATTTCTGACGTGTTAGATGGGTTAGTTTATTTTCTATCAGACACTATGTGAGTGACTATATTTATAGAGTTCGTAAATATATATTAAATAATATATTTTACTTGTGATGGAGTACAATACATAAGAATTCCACATGTTAAGTTAACATAGGTTGTAGCTGAAAATCACGTTTGTCCATGAATTAGTAGAATTATTACATGAATTACTACTACATTTTCAGGGTAGTATTTCTCCAAAAAAGAAAAACAAGATTGTTTCTTTTCAATTTCGCGCAAAACCACTCGAGTGCTATCTGCGCTAGCCTTCCCTAATTTTGAAATGGTAGAATAGTGGGAAGACAGCTAGTTAACACCACCCACCGCCAACTCTTCGACTACTCTTTATCCATGAATAATGGGATTGACCGTCACATTATAACGCCTCCCCTCATGACTGAAAGGGCGCATATATTCGGGGACGGGATTCGATCTTGCGACCATGGTTATGAATCGAGCGCCCTAACCAAAAGAGAGAAGAAAAGCATTATGATAATCAATTTATTATTAGACGCCGTTTCTCTTCTCTTCCTTTATATTCATCAGATATGCAGCAGTAGGACGAAACGTCGTTTACCACCTAGTAGGTTATCCACTTCAACAACATTTTTTTATAACTGTTCGTACCTCCTAACTGTGCATTTCAAACGACGTGAACCAAAGACGTTTTTGAAAGATTGTAAAAAGTGTATAAAATCAACGCGATTTGTAATTTTACTTCCTACAGAAGTCAGCGTTTTCTTCAGAGACATCACATACCCATTCGACTCGTTTAGCAATTTAACCGATGGCTGGGAATTAAACTTTCAGTAATCAATATCGCTCAGAATTTGCAATTCTATTATTTGCTGAAATCAAACTTTCCATGTTTTCCGTGTCGATTGTTTTTTTGTTTTTTTATACAGCAAATAGGATTGGCATATTACTTCATATGTATATAGGTATGGTAACGAAATAATACAGTATAGTGTTAAAGAGTTAAAAAATAAAATTAAAACAAAACTAGGTAAGTGGAATTAAGTATTAGAAAGCTTCACTTTAGGGAAATTAGTTTCACGTTGTCTTCTGGCATAAAAGCTGGTCAACAACGCTTATGTGACCTTTGAACATGGTGGTCAGAAAGATGGGTAGCTTAAACTGACCTTAGGCAGATATTTTGATTACACTATCTTCGACAGTTCTTATTTCAACGTAATTATCCAACTTATCTCTACATAATTAGCCGACTTTTTTCTACGTAGTTATCCGACTTATTTCTGCGTAATTATCCGATTTATTTCTACATAATTAGCCGACTTATTTCTACGTACTTATCCGACTTATTTCTGCGTAATCATCCAACTTATTTCTACATAATTAGCCGACTTATTTCTACGTAGTTATCCGACTTATTTCTGCGTAATTATCCGATTTATTTCTACATAATTAGCCGACTTATTTCTACGTACTTATCCGACTTATTTTAATGTAATTATCCGACTTATTTCTACATAATTATCCGACTTATTTCTACATAATTATCCTACTTATTTCTACATAATTATCCGACTTATTTCTACATACTTATCCGACTTATTTCTACGTAGTTATACGAATTATTTCTACGTAATTGTCCGATAATTTCAAAATTTGTGTGATCATTTTTTGTGCTCACTTCATTATCTCTTACAATTACTTATCATTAAATATATTATAGTAGAATTAAATATGTTCTGTTAAAAGTACTTTTGTCAAAGCAGGAAATTCCCACTGTTTTCCTAAGACAACAAGAATGTTGATGACGTTGGTATTTGAAGCTATTTCGCCTCATTCATTCCATCATTTGTAATGTAAAGTGAATACTGGTTAACTAGACATAAACTAATTGAAACTAAAGCTCTCATAACAAAATGCCATTCGAAACTTTATTTATCAAAATAAACAGTGTTTCTGCTAACAATATAAACTTTCCCTTCACCTCGCCTCACAGTGGCACAGTGGACTTACAACGCTAGAAACCGGGTTTCAATACCCATGGTGGGCAGAGAACAGATAGCCCATTGTGTAGCTTTGTGCTTAACTACAAACGAAACCTCTCTGCCCTGGTATTATATATCCTTTTCTTTTTCTTAAAACCAAATTACACGTAGCTGATTTATATTAACTCAGTTAATGAAAACAATTTTTTCATCATTGACCACTTCGTTGACCAGCACATTTGTCGTCCAGTTTTAAGACCGAAAAAATTTCCAATGACTTATATAAATCAGATATAACTCTGTAGACAAAACGTACATACCGTTTCAGAGGTTCGAATAATCCTCAACTTTTTGGTCGTATCAAATTCATTACAACAAACACTAACAATTAGTAGTAGCCAAGGCTGGGCCTTGCCTAGTTTTTAGCTTACCGGGCTGTGTATCTGAGGGTTCAGATCACACTATTTTATTAGACGAAAATAGTTCTAAAGTTTGCTGTTGAATACCTACTTTTCATCTAATCTACCTGTTCCAAATTAAGGATGACAAGCATAGATATTTCTTGTGTAGCTTTGCGCAAAGTCCAGCAAAATAGAATAAACATGTTGAGTCATTTTATGTTTTTTATGTTGTTATTATAGATCTTATAACTAACGAAGTCATGATCCCACACTTACCTAGCTAGAAAAATGTGTTTGGTGGGGCAACGGGATCCTTGGCCCCATGGACAAATCTAGGCTTAAGATATGAATTTAATTTGCTAACTGTGAACTTACGTGACAATGAGTGCTAATTCCAGATTATTAAATTGTAAGAATTTTTCTCCAGGCATATTCCTGGATGTGATACATTCTACTGCACAATCACGCTCCACATTTTGGGGCTTGTGGGTACAGTATAGGAATAAAGGTCAAACCCCACTGTTCTATTAGGGAAGAGTAGTCCAAGAGTAGGTGGTGTGTGCTGTTAATTAGCTGTCTTTATTCGCGTAATTCTAAGTAAGGGTTATCTGCACTAGCCGTCCACAGCAATCACAGATAACAGTTGTGTAGAATTGCGCGAATATTCAAAACAAATCATGATAAAAGAATTAGCACACAGGATAACAAAAAAGTTAAGAAGATTTCGAAAGGCCCAGAAACTCGGGCGCTTTCAAATAGTCAACCTTTATTTTTCAGGAGTTTTAAAAAATGGTAAAGATTAAAAAGTTTGCCGTAATGAATATGAAAAAGTTGCATACGTCACTTGAGCCGAAATAAGCCAAACCTGTCCACAGAATTTTTTCCGGGGGGGGGAGGCAAAGTTTTTCGTGGGGGGCAAAAATAGTGTGAAATTGGGAATTGAATAAAAAATTCATATACATATGCAGAATGAATTATCTTTCTCATTTTCCAGCGGGGCAAGTTCTCTCTGCCCCGCTCCCTGCGGACGCCCATGCTTGCGAGTACAAAACTCACCATTTATCATTTTCGATTTATCGGCATTCTGAGCTACTTTTGGTTTTGTTAGTTAAAAACGTTCTAATAAGAGTGTACTATTGCACAGTCACTTGCAGATCAAATTATTTACATTAAAATGTGTATGTGTACATAAATTGTTGTTTTTTATTGTTTTTCTGCAAAGTTACTCTCTGTACGTCGCAGGGGGTCGAGTCCGGAATTTTAGCTTCATAAGCCCTGAAGGTAAACAAAATGTATGTTTCTTGTTGTTAGACTTTATGGTATCTATATGCGAATCTTATGAAATTTATCAAAAATGTTTTCCTGAAAAACATTTTCCGACCGGTTTTTCAGAATGTGTTTTCGTATAAAGGAAGTTTTTGCACCAAACGTTTTGAGAAAACAACACGGTTTCCGCTTTGATTCCTCTTTCTTGTCATGACTAGTATTTGGTTCACCGACTCAACTACGTCATTCATTGCTTATGGGAGCTTCTGAACTAGTAATAAACTTTGTGAACGTTGAATTTGTCATGTTATAAAACAGGTATTGACGACTGTGTTTTATCTATCGAGAAATTTTCAGTACTTCTTTTTTTTTTTTAACGAATAATTGTTATCTTAGTAGCACATGCAATTCATCTTTTTGTAACCATTGCAAAATACGTTTTTAAGGTTTCAACTATGTATAACGAATACCACGTGTTTGGTTATGTGCACTATTTTACACACGCTAATTAGTTTAACACGTTTGCTAGAACAGGAAGTGAACTTTAACCCTAGCTAAAGTTTCTAGTAGCCAGTTAAGCCGCGAGGGTAACGGCGCCTCCGTCACGCGAAGAGATCAATAGTACGAGAAGGCATAAAGATAGTTTCGTCAGAAGAGTCAAGGGACTCGGCATGGACTCTGCAGAGAAGGGAAAAGAGAGCGGGAACGCTCCAGACGGTTCCGTAGTTTATAAGCAGCGCAAAGGCTATTTTTTGGAATGCTGGGTTGTGGGTTTGTTTGTGGTGATAGCTCTCAGCATCACAGTTGCAGTTGGATTGCTTGTTGGCTACCTAGGGCCATGTTCGGCGTTCGAATCTGAGTCTGAGGCACTACCCAATAGTTCCAGCCCGTCCGAACCACAAGTGATAACCTATCCGTATGTACTGCTCCCTCGCAGCATCATACCGATCCACTATTCGGTCCAACTCCAACCATACCTTATCCCTAACAACTTCACATTTGACGGAGAAGTGCAGATCAAAATCCACTGCTTGCAGCCTACCACGAACATTTCTCTTCATATCAATGACCTCACCATCCATCCAGAATCAGTAAAGCTTTGGGACTCAAACAGTAGCACAGAGCCGAGCGTAAAAACCACAAGCCGCGATGAACTTCTCCAGTTTTACATATTACATCTGGATAAAAGTCTGAAGAGTCATGCAAATTACACAGTTTCTATGAAGTTCAGAGGAAATCTTAATAACAACCTCGCCGGTTTCTACCGTAGCTCTTACACCGACACCTCGGGAAAGCAACAGTAAGTTTTTTTTTTTTCTGGAATCTCTGAATTTGTTTAAATTTACAGCGTACTTACGCATCTGATGTTTACGGGGAAAAATAGTTAACGACATTAATTATTTACTTACTTATTGTGATATATTCGATTGCTTTCATTAAACTTAGATGCAACAGAATGAAAAAGCAGTGAATTGTTGGCTGACGTATCTGTGAGACCAGATATTTGATTGGGTTGAACAACAGTAACTCACCACAACACAGATACAGATGACAAGCCTGATAAAGTGCTGGCGTCCCTGGAGCACTATGTATGTGGCCAGCGCTGAGACACAGTAGATGATGAAGGACAGAGTCATACAACCTTTAGAGAGTGCTAGATCACCAACAATAATGATTGTCAGGAAGATGGAAGGTACAGCAAAATTCTATCTCAATGTTTAGATGGGTGAACATGGTAACTCACTTTAACACCTTTACCTTACCGTGAACAGATAATATATGGACATGATGAAAAGTTCTCATTGGTTCAACACTTTATATTTAGCATCTAGATACTGGCAGCTAAAGCTGGATGACATCTATATATTGGCAGCTCGAGTTGGATGAGATATAGCTACTGGCAGCTAGAACTGGATGGCATCTACATACTGGCTTCTCAAGCTGGATGACATCTAGATACTGGCATCTCAAGCTGGATGAATACACCATGCACATACTGACTTGAAGGCGAAACGCGGAAGACTTTCGAAACTTCGTCCTCTGTACTTGTGTTCTACAACAGGCAGTTGCCGTCCATTCAACAACCCCCCCCCCCCAGTGGCACAGCGGTATGTCTGCGGGCTTACAACGCTAGAAACCGGGTTTCGATACCCGTGGTGAGCAGAGCACAGATAGCCCATTGTGTAGCTTTGTGCTTAACGTCAAACAAACATCAAATACTTCAATAAGCATACATACCTCACAATGGCTATCGAACGTCAAGAAACAGTTCTATAGAAGTAAAAATATTCACAAAATAAGTGTCAATGTTTTGTATAAACATGCTACACGGTACTGACATACTACATTTTGTCCATAGCAAACTAAGAAACATCATTTGTAGATACAGGGGTACTGTTATTCCCTCCACCACATACATGTGTATGGTCCACTGCTCCTTTCCCATGGAACATCAATTCATCAATTTCTACAGTACGTTCATCCTGAAGATGTCAATGCTATATCCGAAGTTGGAGATGACTATCTTCAATCTGTAAACATTTTCTAGAAACAGCTGGAGATCTGCCTATGTACTGTCATCTAATCTATTGCCATTTGCCAGAATGAAGTCGGTATCCACTAACTAGAATGGTGGTCTCACTTGGAGGGCCTGATCTATCAGAGCTCTTGCTGCTTCTTTTACTACTTGCTGTTGGTTATTCTGGACCTGCTGAGTTATCAGTTGGAATCAGTAACGTTATTCTCTTTGCTGCTTGACAAAGTATGGGCAGTTTTCTCATCAGTGACTCAACCTACCCAGTGAAGCAGGTTATTTTCTCATCCTATTACTGCCAAAGGGTTGTTTACATTAAAACTGGTGAGCACATTCGTAAATAGATTAAAATCATTGGTTATTTCAGTAGGTAAAACATCATTACAGCACACCATAATTTTATTGAAAACAGTGAAAAATGTAATATTTGCAAAGTTAACCGGGTCTGTTTTTCTGTGTGATAATACACGTTCTTAGCAGGAGACGAATCACCAAAACTTGTCAAATCTACATAAATTTCTATTGTTGCATCCCAGATGTTTTTCCTAAGTATTAAAGGGTACCGGAAAGTAATGTCGTTTTTTTCCTTATGTAAAAATGTGGGCGTCCGCAGAAAGTTTTCCAGAAGGGGCAAAGTAGTGTGAAATTGTGAATTGGATAAAAAATTCATATACATATGCCGAATAAATAAATAAAGAATTATGTTTCTCATTTTCCAAGTAGGGGGCAAGCGCCCCTCTTGTCCCCCCCCCCCTGCGGACGCCCATGAGTAAAAGATTTTTTAAAGGTAAATATTTATTTTTCAATAAGTTGCATAATCTCCATTATTATTAATGACAACGTGTCATCTTAAAAATCAAGCTTTCAATTCCTTGTTGATAGAAGGAAGCTTCCTTTGAGACAAAGAGTTCTGTGAGAGCTCTTTTGATGCTACCAATATTTCTGAAGGTTTTATCGCTGAGAAAGTGATGCACAGATCTGAATAAATGGTAATCTGAAGGGGCAATGTCAGAAGAGTATGGAGGGTGAGTCAGGACTACCCAATCCAAACCTCTGAGGAATTCTTGCAGAGTGTGGTCTCGCATTCTGATGCTGCATAATGACCCCCTTTTTTGTTGATCAGTGCTGGACGTTTTTCGATGAGAGCCTGATGCAAAATGTCCAGCTGTTGACAATAAGGGTCTGCAGTTACAGTCTGATTCGATTTCAATAACTCAAAGTGAATTATGCCGACTCTGTCCCACCCAATGGACAACAAGACTTTCTGCGGGTGTAGACCTGGTTTGGCTGTCGGAATTGGGTTCAGGCCAGGGCTCAGCCACTGATTCTTGCGATCGATGTCAACATAAAGAACCAATTTATCATCTCATGTAACAATCCGATGAAGAAATGGTTGTTTCTCATGTCTGGTTATCAATGAATTGCAAATTGTTATGCGCTGGGCTTTTTTGTCATCTAATAGTTTGTGTAGAACCCACACTCATTGTATATTGATTTTCCCGACTTGTTTAAGATGTTCTTTAACGCTAGACCAAGAATAATTAAGTTTTTCGGACAACTGTTGGATGATTTGACTCGACCTCTGACCTCAGAAGGTGGTTGTCCAACTCTTCTGGTCTCTCTGAACGATGCCAATCTGAGAAGTCACATATTGCCTGACCTAACTTTTTCTGAACCACCGCTGGCCGTTGCGGACACTCAGATCATCTTTATAAACCCCACAAATTTTTTTGGTTACCTCCGTTGCCTTTTTACCTTTACGAAACTCATAAAGCATGAATGTCGAATGTGATTCTCGTTGAAAATGTAGTCGGTTATTTTTTCTGATTAGAGGAAAACCATTTTTATTAACAGAAAATTGATGAACAAGAAGGGTTCTTTCCCTCTAAATCAAATTCATTTGAAAAGAAACGAAAGCATATAATTAGAAACATTTGAATTTAAGGAAACAAAAACGAGATTACTTTTCGTTACCCCTAGTACCCCTTGTCTCAAATGTCAGAAAGTGAAATAACAGATATATGTTAAATATTTTTTTCAACTTTTAAAGTGGCCTATCCTTGTAGAAATTATGTATGTTTGTCTACCAAAAATGCAAATATTTTTGCTTTTGGATAATTTTTTATGTTAAATAAAAAAACTACAACGAGATATAAGATATTCAAAATAGAAAAATACATACACAGTAAATTTAATTTGGATATAGTTTCTATGACTACCACTAGGTGGGAAAAACTATATTCTAAAAGTAGTGTCGTTCGTTTAAAGGAAATGCTGAATCACGTTTTTTGTTTTTTTAGGATAACATTTAAAATATAACTATATAATAATTATATAATATATAATCGCAAGGATATATATTATTTATTACGTGCTTTTAATCGATAACTATTTATTCACATTGTACATACTCTTATAAAGAGACTGGCTCTTCACGTAATGAGGAGGCAATAGATAATGTTTTATAGACCAGTGCTTATCAACCTTTTCCATAAATAAAGTTATGTTTCTGTGCAAGGCAGATGGCGCTATTTTCACTTTTTTTATCATGTCTACATTGTGTAAACAAGTGCTTCTCAACCTTTTCCATAAATAAAGTTATGTTTCTGTGCAAGGCAGATGGCGCTATTTTCACTTTTTTTTATCATGTCTACATTGTGTAAACAAGTGCTTCTCAACCTTTTCCACAGACGGCGCTATTTTCACTTTTTTTATCGTGTCTACATTGTGTAAACAAGTGCTTCTCAACCTTTTCCAATATCATTCATTCTATAAGTTTTTCACAAAAACTCAGTCACCCTAGTTCGAAAAAGACAAAAAGTACTAAATT